AAAATAAATAACCACGACTGGGCAAGGCTTGATTTATGAGGGGAGCCTGATGTTCCCCTGGATGTCATCCGGGTTTAACGCTTTTCGTGATCTTGGGCGCGCTTTAGAGCAACCGTCCCGGGTTGCTCCCCGATCAATAATACGCCTCGTAAACGCACTCGGTGTCGGGAGCGATGGCTTCTCCAGTTTCAGATACGGCCGAACGTGAGTAATGCCAAACAAACGGGAAAATATACCTATCTGGCAGCGGCGGCCGCGACCACGTCGTGGGAGACGCGCTATATTTACGCGGCGGTGGTTTCGTCTTTTTTAACGGGCGCCCACGGTCGAACCATTTATATTTAGCGCGCGCGCGCGTTCCCTCTCGGCCAAAGGCACCACCTTGTGACGTGTCAGATGCGACAACTCGTGCTCGCCTTTTTATCGAAGCGCGGGTGACCCTTCGTGGCACTGCACCGGCGCTATTTCAGGGCGCATGGGAACGCCGTTCGGCAGGTGCCTCCGGCTGATTATAAATAATCAGAGTCTCTCTCGCCTCTTACGAGAGCGCCTGCCAGCCCTTTCGTGCCGCGCGATATGGATACGCTCATGTCGAGGGGACCGCGGAACATAAACGAGGGAGCCTGAGCGACGAGATATTTCTACGTTCTACACAAGGTATATTTGCGGCCGCGTCGTCAAAAGTGAAAATAATTTTGCTCGCCTGAAAATTTCACTCTACGCTTCTTTCCGCATTCGTCAACATTTCGTGATAAAACGATCGTGTACGATCAAAATCCAAGAGATTATAATTATGCCGAGGGATATTTTTTAAGGGATTAAACGCGCGCCACCACGCATTATCGTCGCAGAGAACACGCGCTTCGAAGAGAACTCGAATCGACGCGAGCTTCTATCCGATGAATCCGAATGAGCGAATCATTGTTTGACCGGATCGTCCTGCCCGGTGAGGAACGAGCAGCGTGGAATCGGCATGGAAGTGAACGCACCGAGTTCGAAAGCTCGTGGGTTTCAACAGGTGCTTTCGCGGAACTGAAGTACGCAGGTATGTGGAAGCAAGCACTCGTCCCCGTGAAGACCTCTTACATGTGCACACTCCACTTACGCACAAAGCGGACCCGTATATTTCTGCTTTCCATCTCGACAGCTCGCAGAGGCTCTCTCGAAAAGTGTGCCGCAGCGGTATATGCGTCTCTCTCTCTTTCTTTATCTCGTCCTTCTTCAGCCGCCTCTCTCGCACGCCCTTTTCTTTCGTCCGCTGCGCGCTTGCAGCGTGCACATTGTCGTACGGTCAGACGTAAACAAATTTCCGAGGGAGATGCGTGCAGAAACGTTTCGCAGCTAATAAGCTGTTGGCGAAACATGGTGGTCATTAAACGTGCGTTTTCATTGTACGGCACGCACTCGAAGACCTCTGGGGTCGCGCAATCATCGAGTGGCGCAAAGTTGCGGTTAAAGAATATCTCACCCCGATGTGCCAGTTGGCCTGCGGTTATTCGTATCGAACGGTTATAGTATTTCGCATGCACGTATCCGTTGACAGGAGCCAAAGTTAATCGAGATAATTTGCGTGATGCAAGTATTTTTAACAAAAGTAAATCTCTCGCGTGTGCAACGGACCGACCTACTCGTTTTGCAAGGGCTGAGAATTCAAAGCTTAATAAATAATCAAAACCGACGATCGAAGGAAACGCTGAATATGAAATCTCCGGGATTGAAAGTCGGACACTCACCCCGGTCAATTCTCCTGGAGATCACTCGAGAATTAGGGTCTATTCGTCCGGGACACTTGAGAAGATTAGACTGTCACAAGCTTTTCTGCGTTTCCACGTTTCACAATAAGCCTGCGCAGCGTAGCGCAGAAGAGGCCCCTACCCGAGGGGCGGTCGCATCGAGTGACCGTTATATCCACTCGAAACAAAAAATAATTCTATCCCCGTAAGCAAGCGGCAAGAGCGGCTGAATATACCCGACGCGGAAAAACGGCGGACGACGAAAAGATGGGAGATGCAGAGAAAGAGGGACAGAGATATTCGGAGGCTATACGTAAGCCCCTCGACAATGGGGAAGATATTTTCTCTAATGAACCAAGACGAGTACACTCCAGTGCCAATTACACTTCAACCGCGTTCTCCGTATTTCGCTCTACTTGACTTCTGTCATTTCAAAGCCAACGAAATGTCGGAGAGACAAGGGCGAGATAGGAGAAAGAGCGAAATAGAGAGGATGGCCCGATGCGAGAGGGTCTCCTCCGTGGGCACGCCCGATCGATGCTAAACCTCGTCCCTTCTCGTCTCTCGTTCGGAGCAATAAAGCGCGAGACGAGGAAGCGAGGCGGAGAGATAAGCCGGACAATTAATTTTAAGGCGAATCTGAAGATGGAGGGACTTTGGCGCGATGCGCCTTCGTTATGAAAGATCACTTGCTCGCTACGGAGTACGCCCTCAGTTTTCTGCTAAAGAGCTCCGCAATCCTTTCGAAACGCTCGCCGAGTACGAGTTGTTGCAAAATATACTTTGGTACGTCGTCTTCAGATAATTAGCGCAATCGTGAGATCCAAGCTTTAATTAGCAGTTTTGAAGCAGTTTCGAATAGAATTGGCCTAGGTACATACTTTGTCTTTGAGTTTGAAAATAACAGGATTATATTGACGTAAATGCAAAATATAATATAATTCGATGTTGGCTGTGCGTTACAAAATATTTCTCAAGTGCAGTGACGTGCGGTATATCGTGGTTGAAATATAATACCGAGATTATAATTATCGCAATCCCGTTGAAGTAATGCTCCCGATAAATTAATAGCCGGCGAGCAGTTCTAGTTACGCAAACGAGATGTGCGACGACGGTACGTCTTAATTTACCATAGATTACACAGATCACAATAAACCAAGTCGATAGGGTCAGTCCGAACCGTAAGCCTTGATTAACGGATTTAATTATGGGATTGTGTACGGGGGCAGGATTGCAGCGGTCATTATGGGGGCCTTAGTAACCCGTATCCCATACACCCTGGATATACCTATGATGCTCCGTTAGTATACACAGTGTTCCTACACTATAACGTCCAATAATACGTGTACGTGAAGCAAATACTTTCCGCGCTAAATACACTACCAGACTCCGTTCTAACTTTCCCGTTGTAAAACGCATTCCACCGCGGTACTGTTGTCTCAGGCATTTTACAACGGTACAATTATTCGCGCGTAAATATCAAATTTTATTACACCCTGTACATTAAAGTCCACCCGCCAGAACTCAAATGCGATATTGCAGGCTCCTGTGGCCCGTGGGGAATAAGACTTTAAATACGAACCCCATTTCTCTCGCCGCCGCCGCGCCGCGCGAATACAGAAAAGCTGGCAAACGCGAAAGATAATTAAGTTCGTAATTAAAAGATACGATCGCACGAAAGCCTTTCATGATGGCTAAGTGACAAAGGCAATCAATCAAAGGGACAAGCGTGGATTCCACTCGTGTCGAGACGTTCGATATATATATAGATATAGACGAGCGTATTCGTGCTCGGATCATTAAGGCTCCTATCATTTGTTACCATCAGGGATCGATGTATCCGTTAATACCATGTTTCACGGCTCCGCGATTCCGCCGGCGGAGTATAAGCATATTAAAGCAAGTATTCCGGACGTGTAGGTATTGATTTTCTCGATACGAAAGATACGGCCGTCTACGAATCCGCCGTTTACACGGAGCGATAAAAGGTTTAACCCTTCCGCAACGTTAATCCTGACGTGACAAACGTGACTGCAAATCCAACTTTCAAGACCGCTGCACGCCATTAGCGAGTAAACGATAAGTAATAAAGCGGGAATATCGCACGGTTTCGTTACGGTGATTTATACACGCATAAATGGAAGTTATCGTACAAATTTCTCGATATGTATTAAGCGATATATTATCTGCCCGTCACACCCGAGAGCACATTGTATACGAAACGTGTTGTGATATACCGAACGTAATTAGGATCGCGTGATTCAGGGAGCGGGTACATGGGGTGTTCGGAATTTCGATTACAAGGCTGCTCAAGGTACGTTCTCAAGATGTCACTTTGCATGAATTTCCTCGGGCCGGCGTCTCGGAGAAAGCTCTCCGTAGCCAGCGGCGTGCGCAGAGGCGGAACCCTCTGTTAAATGAAATCACGGTCAATCTAACGTTATGTAAATCGGCGGTCACTATCTGGTCAGTTTTGCATATGAATGCCAAAGGGACGGCACACTTACGGCGCCGTATACGACCTTAAGATGATGCTAATCAGTGCTCTCTCTCTCTCTCTCTCTCTCCCAGGAGCCGAATTCTATCCACGGTTCGTTTAGTTTAGTGCTTTCGGGAGTCAAAGCCGAGTCGAACGCGCGCAGGAATTACGCCCGAGCGGCTTAATGTCGAGCGTTTCGAATGTTATGAAATTTCCGTACCGTCAATTTCCCAACAAGTCTCGGTCACTCGACCAGTCGCGTCGTTTTACATTGTCACTGCGTCGCACGTGATCTCGCTAATTGCCCGCCGCGAAATAAACACTGAAACTAAATACGCCGAACAGCCAACAAGATAATTTTCGCGCTGATTAAAACAGGCACGGAGAAGTAACGGGATCTCGCGCGGTGTATTTAAAATATTTTAATCGGGCCATTCGTGCCGGCGAGGAATCTAATGCGAAGTGGTAACTCGTAACACTGCGCGCTTCTAATGTCACCACATGGTTTCGATGACTGGGCCTGTACCGGGTAATCCTATGGGGTAGCACCTACTCGAAAGGCGCCGATCGCGCAAGTATTGTCCGACGACGGCTCGCGTCGCGATCCCGCGTTAAATACAACCCAACGACAATTGTTTCGCGTTTATCGACAGCAACGGTATTATCCCAAGGGGTGCGCACCCTCTGATTAAAAATTCTCGCGTGGTTAAGCCTCTGATAATGATCTTCCCTAACCCCTTTCCGCCCGTGGGGTTTATACAGTATGGTCTAAAAACGATTGTACTTACTCAGTCGGCGTGCACGGGCGACGGCTAAAGCGCAAATGGCTCGAGGTCATCGCGGAACAAGAGTTAACGATCGTTGTCAAGGGTAGCGCTGGTGGAACTGTCTTTTTTGTCAATTGGCGTTGTCGCGTATCCGAGATACGCCTCGTGAGGATCCCAGCTGTTCCGCAACTCACGTGCTGTAAGCAAGTTGTTTCGTAACCGGTTATTTTCGCAAGTTGTTGTAAAAGTCACGTGTTTACGTTACGCTCGTACCATTTTACAATCTGATTGTCTTACTTGTTGCTATTTTCTTACTTATTATTCGTGTATAATTATATGGTAAGTATAAAATTAATACTTACATACAATGTGTATGTAAATAATATATAATTAAGTATATGATATATTTACGACTATGCACTTGGTGTTTATGTAATGCGAATGAATACATCAAAGACGCGTATATTGCGATCGAGACCCTCCGCAAGTATCACGTCGCGATACTATCTTTAGCCCGTTATTAATTAATATCGTGTCAAAGATTAAATGAATTCCTATTGAAGATTCTCATCTGCCGGCAAGCCAAGCGCGAAGCAGGCGGTCGCCCGCGAAATTTGTCATAAGCCTAACGACCCTCGTTATTAAAAGTAACGTTCCAGTGACCTCGCGTGATAATCCACTCACTTGACAAATCGAGATAATTGCAGCGGCAGCCCTTAATCTCCTCCTTTAGCGCCGTCCAACCAGACAAATAAAAGACTTTTAGAGACTCGGAGAATCCACATTGCACGCGGAATTGAAATACGAGCTACTTGAGCGTCACTCCTTATCAATTTAGACAATCTATCGAAATAATGAAATTGACAGCTTGCTGTTGTTAAATAATAGATGATAATAGTACGTCTGTAAATGAATCACAAATAAAGCTCACTACTTATCAGGCATATTTAAAGCACTGCAGTTATAACAGGCCCCCCATTTCCCTCTTTCATCCATCTCGCGAATTTCCCCATGAAAATAACGCAATGGAAGCGTACTGAATAAAACAAAAGGGGCATAGTCGCGCGAGAAAAAAAAACGACTATAAATACCCATAGTCCAGCGAATCGCGCACTTTCATTAATTAAATATTCAAAATCGCCATTAATCCGGTCACCCCGCGCGACGGCCATTCACAACCGTGGCGGTTGAAATCAGCCTCAACGAAGCCCGGACCGTTTCGGATCTCCGCGGCTTAGGCAAATGAAAGCCGCGGCGTTCGCATGCAAATACGCACTTTTGTGCGCGAAACCCGGTAGCGCCGGGCACGGGCGTTAATAAATTTTTCCACGGGTCGCTCCCGGCTGCCGAATTCGACGTGTGACTAATGACGGCGAATTAACGGGAGAGCCTTTACCAACGTACCTGAGAACAATCAGGTGCTGTTGCTGACGCGAAGGAGAAAGAGAAAGGGCGCGAGAGAGAGAGAGAGAGAGAGAGAGAGAGAGAGAGAGAGAGAGAGAGAGAGAGACCAAAAAAAAACCTGAAAGCCGCGACAGCGCGGGAAAAAGCGCCAATCACCCTCTCATCGTGTTTGCCCAAGGTGTGACAAATTCCGGAAGATAGATCGATCGACCGTGCTTCTCGTCACGTTACGTACCTGTCTTCCCGCGCTCGTTCGACGTCCATTCACATTCAAATGCGAAGTTAACGAACAAGGTGGTCTCGGTAATAAATGACACGGGCAAAAAGCGCGCGCATTCCCCGACCGCTCTCTCTCTCTCTCTCTCTTTCTTTCTCCTGCCCCCGGGTTAATTATTCAGGCTAAGGGGGTTGTAAGCAGATTGGTCTCACCCCTAAGCCCCTATCTCGGTACAACGAGGGTGGCAAGACGGGGCGGCGGAGGGATCGGCCAAAGACTTTAAACCGCCCTTACTTACTGACTGGTGTCTGTGATTAGAACCAGAAATATGCTAAGCGGCCTACCAATTACCGGAGATTCCTAGTCGCGGAATTACGTCGCCTGGAATAGAGAGGTTCGCGATACAATCGAAATAGTGGTGATCTTATCGCGCCGCGAATAGTTATGTAAAGACGTTTGTATCTCGTTTCTCAATGTAGCATCTTTCGCGAGGTAAATAAAAACCAGCGGAGTTTCAACATTTCCTTACACAATTTATATAATTTAGGATTAAATTGAACCGTTGCGATTTATAGGAAAATACTTGCTTTCTATTTCACTCTGTAAACTTTTGTGAAATTACTTGGCGACGGTCTGCAAATGTACGGCAGAAAACGGTCTGGATAACATACTCGTGTTAACAAGAAGTTTGTGATAATCTCGAGATTCGCGATCCCGGACCGTAACTCGGTCGTTGAACCCCATAAAATCAGTTTCGCTCAAAACGTCTGACTTGCATCCAACGGGTTTTTCTAATCCCAACGTACGATCAAAGTCCGCTACAAACGGCACGGGAAGTTCAATCGTCTGCAGCGAGGGCGGAAATTAATTCCATGTCCGCGACAATAATTTTAGACGCAGCTCTTTGAGAAGGAGGCGGCTACGCGGGCTGGTCGGAGGCACGAAAGGACAGTGGAAAATCGTAAGGGAACATTGTCGTTAACTTTTACGATGCCATTAACGTGGCCGTCTTCCGCCATTCCGAACACGAGCTGGACACCGTGACGTCACTGTGAAAGAGGACCAAGAGGAAGCAAAAGAAAAGTTAGAAAAAGAATTAGTCGAGACCACGAGTTGCCCAATCTCCCTTCCCATTCCGCTCGTTCTTTCTTCGTTGCCTCGTATATCCGTCTATGGTATCGCGGCGGTCGTAACTTCGACAAAGGGCAATATTCGAGTTACTCAAGCTGAATCCGGAATGTTCTCGGTAAATTGATTGCCGGAAAGGAGAAGGATTTAATAACACGTTGGTTGTCGTCGAATCTTTTTCCGTAACACGCTAAATAATGAATTGCGTAGTAAATCTGAAAATATATCGCGGAAACGTATCGGTAAAATTAATACGGTAAGTTAAGTGTCTGAAACTCCGGTGGCATTGCGTCGCATTCAATTTACGCAAGTTTCCTTATTTACCTTAACACCTTCAGACAGCGCGCTTGCGGTTGGCGTCGCGGCAAACGAATACGACGACGGCCGCGCCTTCTGCGAGTGGCAGCTCGGTGTTGAAAAAAATAACAAATCGGGGAAACACGAAGAAAAACACGGGGAAGAACGGTTAGACGAAGGTTGCGTTTTGGGACTTGACACGCGTATCTAAAACACAAGCCCGGGGGCCACGTGCCGGGGGTACCACGCCTGTCAGGTCACGTGACCGTGCGTAAAAGGGTTGAGATTTTCCAGCCCGGACTTTTCGTGGCGCGGCTTGACAGATCGTCTCGCTAAGTCTGACTGATACTCGTCCGCTACGGGCTTCGCTTTAATTATGAGATATTATTCCGTGATCGCGCCCCTCTGAGCGCGAGCGGGTTTAATGCCTTTTTAAAAGGAGATCAAGCCTCTCTTTTCGCGTACCGAGCATAGACGGGTCGACGATCGGCTGTTAGCGATCATCGCGCGACACAATGCCGCCGGGAGTTTCAGAACGAAACAATTAGCCGAGCGTCGTTTCGGCGAGCGCAGTGTGAATTTCAGTCGGACGGGCGACAGAGGATCAAAGCTTTCGCATTTGTACGCGGAGCTTGTCTCGATCGGCTCCCCGTCTCGAGCCGAGAAGCCGCCGGGGACAATATTATCCCCGCAAGTAGGTCGTTACTTGACGCTCGGTCGCCGAAACTTGGTGAAATTCTAAAATTCACGAAAGGTTCCGGGTAATATCCCGGGAAAAGTTCCGACACTTTCTTAAACTTCGCGGCAACGTCTAGATATGATATCCAGTTTATTGCAGTCTACTCAACAGCGCCCGGGAGCTCCTATGATTTTAATCCTCGCATTCACCCTTACGTATCCTTCTTGATGAGATTCGCGATATATAAAACGATTTTAATTAAATTCTTAAGAATAGGGCATTGTCTACTAAAACACTACGCGTGCGACGAAATTTAGAAACTTTTAAAATACTAAAAGTTATTAATCTCTATTCTTCATCCAAAAGCAAGATAAAAAGTTATAGAACGCATATAAGAATTTCTTCATTGTTATCAATCGTAATCATTACTTTAAAAAAAAAACTTGAAATAAAATAACAATTTAATAGTCTCTGTGCATTAAAGATAACCACAATGATATACTTTTATAAATTGTAGTTGCAAGAAACTTTAACGTTAAGAAATGAATTTATGCAGTAGATACAATCTACCGTATATAGTACACGCAGTTACAGCAAGTATCTTGCTCTTGATGTTTCCAGAAATGCTGCGATAGAATAAGTTGGTGTCTCTCACACTAGCGCAACGATTTCCCAAGCAAACCATAAAGAACAGCGAGTTCAGGAAGAGTCGGTAAGCGCCACGTCACGCGCATTACGGACAATAATATCCCGCGCGACTTTGCCAGAAGACGAAAGAAGCGAGTGATGGATGCGCCCTATAATCCGCGCTAACTTCCTACGGGATTTGGTGGCAATGGTTACCGCTGGCGCCAAGCAAGCACAAGCAGGCAGGCGGGCAGGCAGCCACCCCTAATTCAAACCTGGCCTAAAACCTCGAAATCAAGTCAAGTCACTAAGTCTCATCTCCCGGGGGCCGTGTGCGGCGCCCCGAGACGCCGTTCTAATTAACATCGTGTCGCTCTTACGGCTTAAGTCGCGGCGCACGACTGAGACGTCTTCTGAAAATCATTAGAAGGGCGAGTAGAGCGCGCAGAGATGGGCGAGGGACGAAGCGACGTACAAATGCGTCCGACTGTCAAGTCGGGACAGTAGGCGGGGAATGGTCGAATAAATAGAGGCAGGCCCGGCACCCACGGTAAGCCAGACAGGAGACGATTCTCCGGGTCGGGGAGAGAAGCCAAGAGAAGGCGGCGGGATTCAAATTTTCGCAAATCATTCCGCGGAGGGGAAGAGAGAGTGAGAGAGAAGAGAGTATTCGGTAACCCCTTTTCCCGGGATTATCGGGGACCCATGTGGCCCTGGCTCGCTGATGGCTCGTTACCGAACCGTGCCTCTTCTCGATAACCGACAGATATTGCTATTTATGAACGTCGCCGAGCCCTCGTCACGCTACCGAGCGCATCTCTTTGTCTTTCGTCGACTATACGCGC